CCCCAAAACCCCAAAACCCCAAAACCCCGTTAGGTGATTATAATAAAATAAATTGTAATAGTCAAAATGCAAGAAGTTAATGAATGAATTTGTTATTTAAATAAGGTTCCATGTTTATGCATTTCTCATTTAGTGTGGAAATTTCTAACAAGGAATTCGACCACATCATTAACAGAGTGGAATGACTCGCAGTCATCGTCTGAAATTTCGAGATCAAATTCTCTCTCAGCAGCAAGGAGAATCTCAGAAATGTCAAGACTGTTGAGATGTAGTTAGTCAAATGATGATTTTAAGGTCACTGCTGATGGATCTTTAACATTATCATGAAGAGCTACTAATCTGATGAACCTCTCTGAGACATTCATAGGGTCAGCATAGTACTCACCATCATGTCTAACCATAAGTTTACCTTCAGGGTAATAGAATCTCTGAGGAAGAGCGCATAATTAGACTGGTCTTCTGAAGATGTGTCTTTGTCTAATTGTTGATCTAAGTAATTAAGAAAGCATTTTTATTATTATAAATTAATAATTATAAAATCATTAAAATTGGAAAGAATCATCTAAATTATCAGCTTAAAGTGCTTCATTCTCTTAATTGCAATTTTCATCATCATTTTAGTTATTTTAATCTTGCTTATAGCTTGCTCCCTCTTGCTATTTTTAACTTTACTCATATTCTTGATCCTCAAACATTAGATAGTTTGGCTTAGTTTGTGGCTTATTTTCACTTTTGTTGCTCTACATCTCCCCAAGGTCAATTTTTTTAGTTTTATTTTGAAGAGAAGTTGTAGATGGCTGTGGTCTGAATGTATTTCCAATGTCTATATCATTCTATTAAAGATCAAACATATTTTCATTTTTGAAATTTAGCATTAAGTAAGAATTTGGGGTAAGTATAGCCTAGTTGTTTTCAAATAGCTAAGATGTTACATTTGAATCTCTATGCTGATTGATGCTCATAACCTAGTGATTACTTTAACTTTAGAAGTGCATTTCCTCGTACTTTATTATTTTTCTATCATTACTTTCATGAGCTTGATTTTGATTTTACAACTACTCAAGAGAGTTATTAACACTGGACATCTTCCTAAAATCTCCGCTTTTTTATTACTGATCTGTAGAGGCAGAGATTCCATCCATTATATCATCATCATAGTCAAGAGAATTATTTTAGTTTGGATTGATCTAATTATTTATAAATTAGTAATGCTGATCATTTTCTGCTTGCTCTAGCAAAGATTCTTTAAATTGATTTTAGTGAATTCTTTAAGGTAATTACTCATCGTCTTTAGGAACTTAGATTTAAATTGGTCTGATAGGTTTTGATTTTTAACTTTTACTAGATCCTTAAACTGTATTATTCGGACTAGCAGCATTTTATAATTATTGCTAATTTTCAATAATTTTTAGTTGATTTACCTATGCAAGTTAACTTTAAGAACTCTAATTTGTATTATTTCTATTAGCACTGACTGGAGATAGCATTTAATCACTTCCTATATTTATTACTGCAATAATGTTAGTGTTCGAGTTTGAAGGATTCATGCCTTAATGCTTATTTCTACTATTAGATCTGCTCATTTAATCTGGGTTTTTCTATGGTCTATCAGTTAGATTATCAACTTAATATCTTCTATAATTTTATGATGTATTATCATGTGAAATAGATTGATTATGACTCAAATGAGCACCTGGAGTACCAATTAATCCGCCCATATAAAAACTCGAATTCTCTTTACTTGACATCAACAACAATTATTATTGCTACAGTTCTTTAAGCTCCATCTTTTCTTCTATTGCTTTCTTTTTGTCCTTACTCTTCTTTAATTTTTACTCAAGTGAATCAATTTCTATTTTCATTTGATTAAACTGATCCTCCAAGGCTTATTTCAAAGATCTTATTTCCTACTCAGATTCATCTAAATACTTATGCAAGTAAGCCACTTCATTTTGCTTAGAGTTGTAGTGAATCTCTAATTCCATTTTCTCATTCAAAGCTTGCTAGTACATATCTCTTGATTCCTCTAGTTAATCAATTAGTTGATCTCTTTCTTGAGATAAGTGCTTCAAAGTCTTTTTAAGTTCGTCTATTTGATGATTACACACATCATGCAAAGAATCAAAACAAGCTGATGAATCCACAGGGTATCCATTTTAACTTAATCTAGCATTCATCCCTAATTTAAATCCTCTAGTCTTGATTTGTTCCTCTATTGATTATCTATCTGTACTTAATCTTGAGTTATGACTATTCATCCTATCCTACATTCTTCTTACTTAAATTGGACTTTACTGTTGTTATTGCTGCTTTGACATTTCATTTAACTCTAGCAATTACCGTTTTATAAGATCTATGTCTCTTTTAAGCTCTGTAGATTCTCCAAGATTTTTATGTTCTAACTTTCCTTGGATTTAATCAAATTTTTCTTTAAGATTTTAAATAACACTTTCCTCTTCTTAATTTATATTCAATCTCTATGTTTCTACCGTCAGTCTTTGAATTTCCTCTTTCTATTTTTCAATACTCTTCTAATACTGATCTATCATTAAGAACTTTTATTCAGCCTCAACTCTTTTAATTTAATCTTCTCTATCTTAGAGTTCTCTCTCTTTTTATTCTAGCTGCTTTATTCTATTTTCAACTATTGGTGAATTAGAGATGCTTTTAGGTAGATCAATCATGGTTTTTTCCATTCTCTTCGCCTATACTTTCTTTATCTCATTTTTGAGTTTATCAAACCTTTGTGTAATGTCCAATGTTTTTTGACTTAGTTTTTACCTTTCAAATTTTTAGGATTAAATCTGATATTAAATGATTTGTTTTTATTTTTCATTCTCTTAGTTCTTAGCCTTTTTCAAAACTTACACCTAATCTTCAAGTCTCTTTATGTCATCTCTACTATCTTCTAATATCTTCTCATATTAAATAATGGCTTGACTTTGAATTTATAATTTATCAGTAAATTTTCTCAAGTCAAATAATATTTTATGTTCAATATCTGGGTCATCATACTCTAACTCTGAATCTAATGCTTAAATCAATGAATCGTAAAATTTATGATTGTCTAAAGGCATAAAATTTATATTTTAGTTTTACTACCTCTCAATTTCAATTTGTTTCTTTGAGTCATTTAGCTAGACCTTCAGTTTTTCAATATATTTCTTATATTCAGTTATCTTACCTTTATATCTATCTTTATACTCTTTCATCTTTAATTTATAGTGAACTTCTTTTTGATTCAGTTGAATAGCTTATTGATGTACAATATTCTTTAGATCAACAAACTGCTGATAGCTATCATTACTAATTGTTCTCTGTCTATCTCTTCTTTCACTATCTCTTTCCTGAGATTTGATATCAGTGTTAATGAGTTGATTTTGTAGAAATATTTTCTCCTTTTCTACTTCAATTTAAATTTTTTGAGTATCTCTTTGGTATTACTCATACTGCTCTTAAATCTTATGAGACCTAGCTTGACTAGTTGAATTTAAGCTTCTTTAGTTTCCAGTAAAATTCATTTACAAAGGCAATTATTAAGTGTGCTATTTTTTATTGTAAAAATTTATAGATTTTTCATCTGTGTCTTATCTTTCATTGAAACTACTAACATGGATAATGTTTTTAGATTTCGAATTTGATTTCTGTGGAATCAAATTTTGGTCGTCTACAGATAGAGGGGAAACTAATTTATAAGTATTAGTACTGCTCATTTCAGTATTCAGCCTGTTATAGTCAGATATATTCCTAGTTTAATAAGAATTAGGTTACTTTCCTTAATTATCAACTAAATTCATTTGATTTCTTGTCTTTACATTTGTTTTGAATTCCTTCAATTGAATGTCTTCATATTAGAGGGGCTCAGATTCCTATTTATTTCTCTTATTATTGAATGAATTTCTATTATTTCTAAAAGATTGTGGTAATGGTACATGTGACGAATGTCTTATTTACCGATTTTCGACATTATTGGATATTATTGGTACATTTAACTGAAATTTCTGAATACTTTGGTTTTACACATGTTTTGGAACTTGTAAATGTAGGTTTTATTATTAATAATCTTAGTCTAATTTAATATCAGGTGCAGCTTGCTTGCTTGATTTAGAAATTTCCCTACCTTTATTCTTTGAATTGTTTGATTTTTGCCTATCTGATAATGGCTAGATACTTGCAAAGTGCTATTGACGCCTTTCAAGTGATTATTAATTCTAGATTATTTAGGGATCTTAGAATTATTCTTATCTATTTTTACTATGATTCATAGACTTTCTCACTGGATTAGTTTATTTTTGATGAACTGATTATTACACTTTCGTTATAACACTGATTAGTTTATTTTAGTACTTCAATAAATAGTCAAATAGCTCCTATCTTTATTGCTGAGGAGCTGACTATTATAAATATTAGGAGTTTAACTGATCAATGAAATTCTTTACTTGTCTTTGAAATTCAACCAAATCATTCATTATCTGATCGTAATTAATTGGATATTGAGGATTCTATTACTTTACTAGTTATGATACCAAGATTAATTGTCTTTTGATGCTTTTAACTTCCTGTTTTATAGAAATTAGAATTAGTGAGCTTTAATTTTGCTCCATTATCACTTTATTTTATATATTCAAATTTAAATAACATCTTTTTACCGATTTTCTATTATTTTAGACTTTAGGGGTTTTGGGGTTTTGGGGTTTTGGGG